CGACTTATTTAAAAGCAACCCAGATGCAATATCTACAACATTTGAAAATGGAAAAACTGCTCTTCACGTTGCAATTACTGCTGGTCAGCTAAGGGTTGCTAAGGAATTGATGACTATTATTGGTACTGAAGCAGACAGTTGCCAATTGAAGATAACAGATGAGAGTGGCAACACAGCTCTTTCCTTTGCTGCTCGTAGTGGAATGATGGAAATTGCAAAGTGCTTGCTTGAAAAGAACAAGGACTTGCTTACTATCCCAGATGGCGACGATATGCTCCCGGTTCAATTGGCTTGCAGGGCAGGCCATGAGGACATGACTCGCTACCTCTACCGCGAGACCCGGGGAGAATGTCTAAGGGGAAACAATGGCTTCTACCTCCTCGAAGAGTGTATAACTAAGAAAATGTTTGGTGAGAGCTCTAACATTCATCTTCTCTCTTTATATAATTTTGCTATTTCGTTTTCCTCTAATAAATATACTTAATTTGACATGTATCAGATATTGCACTCCATCTCCTCTACTGCTTTCCAGAGTTTGCAATATATAAAATCTTTAAGAAGGATACCAATTCGATCATTTTAACTCTTGCTCAAACACAATCACCATTCTTTAGAGGAAATCAGCTATCATTTTGGAGACGTTGGATATATAACTGTTAGTATCATTTATCTTTATGTCTTTAATTTTTAACATAATTTCTCTTTTAATATATTTTTTGGCTAAAAAATAGAGTATTTTGGGATGTTGTGCATGCCATCTTTCTTTGTTTTCCAATATGCTTTTCTGAACTTTTTAGTGTATTAAATGCTATTTTTTTTATTGCAATTGAAACTGAAGGTACAAGAGTGAAAGTAGATAAAGAAAGTGTTCTATTTGATGGTGTTGGCAGTGTTGCACCTCAACGAAGAGGTATAGTAGTTATGAGTTTTCTTTGCTTTTTCTCACTAATAACTTTTGTAGAGATTGTTGACTAAATAGAAAGGCAATCATTTATTATACCAATGAAATAACTTTTTTTTTAAAAAAAAAAAATGAATATAACACATTAATGACAGGGAGTCTGGTTTCAATATCCGAATTTCTTGGAAAGCAATAATGTCCATCAAATGAGTCTTTTTTCTTTTTCCCTTTTTTTTTTTTCTCCTTTTCCTAATTAGCTTTTGTTATTAATTCTCTTTATTTTTTCGTCCTTTTGTTCTTAATTCTTATTAGTAGAATTGAAGCAAAATATTTTTTTTCAACAGCAACGAAAATATATGGTTTAAAGTTGATGGATGCAATTGCTCGTGAGATTATGCATTTTATATGTCGAAAATTATCAGCTTTGGATGAGGATGAATTTGTGCAAAGTGGAGCAGTGGAAGCAACCTTTCAAGCTATCAAGAATGGCATCCCTGAGATTGCAATAGAAATTGCAAAAGTTAATACAAATATATTATGGAACGGTATTGATCCTGAAGATTCAAGGAACATGTTTGCATGTGCTATAGCACATCGTCAAGAGGAAGTGGCACAATTTCTTTATGAATTTAATGCAAGAATTAGTACAAATATAGTTTTTACCGATGATCGAGATGGAAACAATTTATTACATTTAGCAGCAAAGTTAGCTCCTCGTTCTCACCTTGATTACATTTCAGGTGCAGCTTTGCAGTTGCAAAGTGAGCTACGCTGGTTCGAGGTAAGCATCTCATACTTTTATATGTTCTGTCAATTAATAAATTTTATATTTTGATGTCACATGTGGCTCCATTAATTCTGTATGGTAATAATGAGTTTCTCACTAAACATATAGAATAATATTTTGAAATTAATGTAGGCAGTGGAAGGCATTGTTCCACAGTTCTACAACCATCAAAAAAATCATGGTGGTGAAACTCCTTCCCAAAAGAATGGTGGTGAAGCTCCTTCCCAAAAGAATGGTGGTGAAGCTCCTTCCCAAAAGAATGGTGGTGAAACTCCTTCCGAAGTGTTTGTTAAGGAACACAAGCAGTTGCTAAAAGAAGCGGAAGAATGGATGAAGAAAATAGCTGAATCTTTTTCAGTCGTAGGTACTCTAATCATTACAGTTATGTTTGCTGTGGCTTTCACTGTTCCTGGTGGGAATGATCAAAATACAGGCTTCCCTATATTTTTGAGCAAAACAACAGACTCTTCTACAGTACCTTCCCCAACCGTGCCTTTTATGGTGTTTGTAGTATCAGATGCAATTTCTCTTTTTGCTGCAACTAGTTCGGTGCTAATGTTTTTGGGGATTTATGCTTCACGTTATGCTTATAACGATTTCTTTAAATCCTTACCCGTGAAGTTGGTTATTGGGATTTCTTCACTCTTCATCTCTATTGCAGCAATGATGGTAGCTTTTTGTGTTGCTCTTTTCATTATGCTACAAGGTCGATTGTGGATAATCATACCAGTAACTTTGCTTGCTGGTATTCCGGTCATTATCTTTGTACTGTCACTGTCTCCTTGTCTTGTTGAGCTTTATACTTTGACTTTTGGACCAGGCATCTTTGATGGTATAAAAGATCATTAACATAGGAAAAGGAAGAGATGGATAGAATTTCTGTTATTTTATGTTAGTAAATAGACGAGTGTGCTCTATATGTATTGTAATTGCGAGAAATATTTGGTGGATGTGTATTATTTGAAGATTTCATATACTTTTGTAAGTGCCAAACTCCTTCGGTAATTCATATAGAGTGCTCTAAATATTCTCTCATAATATCTAAGACACAATTAGAGCCGAAAATTGCTGGAATGCAATTGTGCAACATAAGTACATACATTTGTGCAACATAAGGACATGTGCTTCTTAAATAGTGAACGGTTGGGTTGGGTTGGGTTGGGTTGTGGTTTGGTTTTCTTTGGTATATATGGATAATAAGGAACACTAGAAATAAGAAAGTGTTTAATAATGGACCTTTACTGGAAAGAATGTTTGACCAAGTGCAGGTTAGAGCTTTCCAAATGATAAAAGACAAAGGGAAGGTAAGATACTTTTTACTTTCAAATTGGCTCATAAATCCTCGTCACTACTACATCAAATGAAAAATAAAATAGGGTGTGGAATATGAACTGGACTAATAGCATATTGCTACATAGATTGTTACCTACTACGACTGCATAAAAATTTTCCCAAAATGAATTTGAGAAAGAAATTAAGTGTGCAAAATTAAAAAAATTAGAATCATCACTTACCAAGTCATCAAATTATAAAGTAAAACAAGTCATCCAAATTAATTTGGGATTTAAGAGTTTAGTTTGAAGGGAAGAAAAGTATACACGTATTTCACCATTTTTTCTATGTAAAACATGGTTGCATATTTTAATATTGAGGTTTAATTCAACTTGTTTATTCTTAGGTCTCAATTGAATAAGCTTGAAATATAAATAATTAAAATTGTAACATTTGAAAACCTTTAGACTGAATTGAACAAAATCAAGAACATGCATGCACAATTACAACAAATTAAAAGTTAAGAGACTAATTTGATAAAATTTAAAATTTAAAGGACTAATTTGCAATTATTAAAACTTGTGTACCAAATTGCTTGATCACAAAAAGTTTTAGGTGAAATTAAAATTCTAATAAAGACAATTTTTACTTTTTAATTTTGAAGTTGATTAAGGAGAGGTAAAAAATTTAAAATTAATTAATCAAATAATTTTAATTAGGTGAATCTAATTATTTTAATTAACACGAATAAAGGTAATTAATTTTTTAATTACAATCGAT